CCCGGAGGCAGGGGGGTTGGCGTTAGGAAAATAAAAAAACAAGAAAACGAAAACGCAAACACAAGTCGTCAGCGACATGGCAGACAAAGTGTCAGGCATTATTGCAGATGTCAGACAAAGTGTAAGACCAAAACTCTCCACTTCTCACTTTTCCTTCTCTTCAAGTGCATGCAACAAAGAGAAGCGACCATATCCATTCACAGATGACTTCAACCACGTTCGATGTTCCGCAAACCCTGACACTCACTGACACATCTTATCACACATCCCACATCTGTTCTGCAATTTGATGCAGATCTACAGCTTCCCACGATCCACCTGTCCCAAATTCGCAACACCGGGTTTTGTCAAAAAATTACCATTTTATAATGAATCTAGACCGGCCATACCACGATCAGACAATCAAGAAAGGGCCATGACCACCAGGGTAGGAGCCCACGACTGATAAGCTTTAGATGTTTAGATATACGTTTGGCCACAACATGACTGACTGGCTCTGCTGTGACCAACACCAGGACAGACCGAAAAGCAATACATCCTGGTTCCCAAAAATCAAAGCCAACCCGAAACAAGGTTCGTTACTATATGTACTGTCCTTGGATTTTGATGGTGATCAGGGCACCCTCTCCATCATCGGGTGGCTCCAAGGTGTAATGACGCCTCCAAATTATTTATTGCAGGGCAGCCGCTTCTTGTCAGCTGGCCCAGCATCCAGTGAGTGTCAGACAGCCTCTTCTTTGTCGGCTGGTCTGATCAAATGATTTGATTCAGCGCAATCATTCTTGCACTCTATGAGTTGAAGGGGACGAAAAACAAGACAGACTGTCACAAGGAAATGGAACTCGGTAGGAGAAGAAGGCAGATGAGCTGGAGAATCTCCTGAACGACAGATCGGGGGAGGGTAACAAGGTAGATAGACAGCGATCGGCTTGAGGTCAGGTGGCTTGCTGTCTTTGAGAAATGCATGTGCGTCAAATTGGGGCAGAGAATAGCCCGTGTTTGGGCTGCAACACATGAATGTAAGTCCGCCAGCCTACCCTCTACATGCAGCAGCCAGTTGGCATTGCGATGACCAAGGCACCCCCAAATCAACATGTGAGTCTTGGCTTACCTCAAATTGTCTGATCGAAGGGCCAAGAATGGAGCAATCTTCTGGAAGATTGCGTGCAAGGGGACGTATTTGGCAATGGTCCTGCGATCATTGATTGGAGAAAGGGCTGCCAGTGGTGATGGGCTGGAGGATGACCAAACAGAGGGGCAAGGTCACACAGATGAAAAGAGCCAATGTACAACACAAGAGACACCAGGGAGGGAGGACGGAAAGATGTTTCGAGTTGAGACGGGGGTGGAGGAAGAACCATGGTGGGGTGTGCCTTCAGTCTGTGCAAGGGGCTTGGTAACTCAAAACCGAGGAGGAACCCGGGGGAGAGAAAGGACTGAGTAGTCACAGGCACGATAGTTTTGCACCGCAGACACGGCGATGACCTTGCAAGTTCCACATCCTCATGGAATCTGGGGCCTTAGTGGAGTGAACGGCGATGATCAGACCCATTTACATGTCGCCAATTGTTGGGAGAGGGGATAATCTGCTGCAATAGCTGGGTCACCTCAAGTCTTTAATCCCCAGTGACTCAGCATCAACAGCGCATCGAACTCGAAGAGAAAGTTCCATCAGACTCCGCAGCGCAACATAAGGAAAATCATAATGTGGCAGCCATTGGGGTGGGGTGACATTTTCGTTTCAGTCCGTCTCAACAGCAAATCAACGCCACCAGTTGCAGATCATAGGGCCAGGAATACAGCAAAACCGAAGGACTGGTGCACAGAGGGACACCTCTGGCCAGTAAACTATATAATGGGGAGAGTCTAGCTGGCGGTTCCCCTTCTTGCTTCGCGCCTTCCCTCTTTGGAAAAATCCATAACCGACTCCCCTTCTTGTTTCACTTCCTCACCTACCTCATTTTTCACCTTATTATCTCATTTCCAAGGCTGCATGTGCCTCCCAATTGTCAGCAGAGCGTCAAAAATTGTATAAACCTCCTAATGCTTGATAAACTAATTTACATTGTAACAGACGGAGAATACTGCTCTTGAGGGACCTGATCTCCATGGTAGATCGTCATGCTTATCCAATCAAAGCCAATATCTGGGCCCTCCTCCCATTTGCCCACCACCCCTTTCCCTCACGAAGACATCAGTGCTGCTCAATGCAGGGTGTCGTATCACTGTTTCCTTACACAGTTCTTTATTAACCTTTCATCACCTTGGGCTGTGTTCGCGTTCGGTGACCGAACCCGAGCGTTCGCGACCGAACTCGAATGAGCGCCAAAACCCTCCGAACGCGAACATTAAAAAAAAAAAAAAAAAAAAAAAAAACCCTCAAAAAATGTTCAAATTTGAAAAATCTGAAAAGTTGAAAAAGATGTATGTTATGTAAAATAATAATACAAACAACTTTTGCCTGGAAGGTATGCTCAAATTCGTAACCAAACTCGACTTAATAATAAAAAACCTAAAAACAAATTAAGTTCTTTTTTTTTAAATCATTAAAAATATATATGTTCAACTGAACACGTTCGGGAGGGGTTCACCCAAACACCCGAATTCCTCCATATCCACATTTACCCTATCCCTTTTGCAATCCAGCCCCTTCGTCAATATCATGCTCTACTCTTTCCTTACCTGTTCCCTCCGCTCCACTCTGAGATCCTTTTCCTGCCTTGCAACCTCTTATTTCCCACCTTGTCTTGATCCCCCTACACAACCTGCATTTCTTACCCTGTTGCCTTAGCCTTCTTTCCCCTGCACTTCATCGGTTCCTACATCCTCACTCTGATTGGCTGAAATTCCAAACTCCTCTCTATGCCACATCCTGATAGGTCCCTCCCAATCCGCGCTACCGATGTCCCTGACCTACACCCTCCTGCCATTTAGTTAGGACCCTCCTCGACATCTTCCTCCTCCACAACCTCTTCAACGCCGGCAAACTCACCCTCCATGCTTCACCCTATCACGATGACCCTCCTTTCTCTGTCGTCGCATCGTGTCCTGACTGACCAAAAACCTGCTCTCTCGTCCTCCTGACCCCCCACACCTAACCCTCTCCCTTCACCCTTCTCCTGCTACTCCAGCTTATCAAGATTTCGACGACGACCTTCTCCTGCCTGCATGACCAGCCACCTTCCTTCCCCCGTTGCCTCTCTGCATGCACAGCATAATCCCCACCTGCAGCCGTGCAAAAACCCAGTCCCACTTGCAACATGGCATCCCCACACCAATTGGACTTGAAGCCCTAAACGTGGATTGAGGGAGGAGAAGAGGGATCCAGTGAGGGAGGGGCAGAGAGAGAGCGGGTGCACTTCACATACGCCGGGGGAACCTACCTATTTGGTATCGGGGCCGAGCGTTATGGAACCCTCCACCTCTTTGTGCACAACACCGCACAGAGAGAGAGAGAGAGAGAGAGAGAGAGAGAGAGAGAGAGAGAGAGAGAGAGAGAGAGAGAGAGAGAGAGAGAGAGAGAGAGATTCGCCACGGTGGCGGCTGTTTGAACGCAGCCCGAACGTGCGTTCAAACAGCCGCCGCCGTTTGCCCGCGTTTCTGGCAGCACTCCAGAACAAAAACTACACGTCGCAACTTTTTTTTTTCTTTTTGTTCTATACAGCATCGGGACTTTTTGTCCTGGACGGGAGTCAGGCGACTGTGCCCGACAAAGTTGGCACGCACATGAACTATTGAAATTCAGACCCAAGTTTGAAGCCACAGCGGATCTGCCGTGCGGCCTCAAAATGAAAAAGAAGGGGATCTCACCACGCAACTATAGCAAAAAGAATTGCGGCACTGAACGTTTGCCTGTTCTACGGGAAGGTTCATTCTCATCTTGCACATTTGGTGAGCGTGCAGTGAGGCCCATTGACACGAATCCCAAAACAGCAAAAAAGAAAGAAAGGCAAAAAACGACAAACCAAAAGACCAAACGAAACAGCCTTCACATACTGGGCCTCGCTGCGCCACTTTCAAAAAATTGGAAATAAACCTTCCCTGACAAGGCTGCAACATACACCGATGCAATTTTTCCCGTTTCCTATCGGGTCCAAGGCATGCCTCGGCCCATCATTACGTTGTCTTTTCCCATTCTCTTTTGGCCGTTTGAAATCGTTGCACGCGGCCAGTTACAACGCATTCTAAGTCGCGTTTTTCGGCACACCGTTGATAGATGCCGGAAAACGGCAGCTTATCGGACGGCCCGTCTCACAGATGGGCACATTCCAGTCAGGGCAGGTCGTGACGTAGCATTACACCCGACCTGCGTTACACCCGATCTGCATTACACCTGACCTGCATTACACCCGCCCAGAAGAACTTTAATAGAAGGTAGTAGATAAAGGGTCAAACTCCAAAATTTCCAGCGAAAAGAAGAAAAAGAAAGAAAGTCTGGAGCCATACTCCCCCCGTAATTCTCGAGCCATGAGCTAATTGACATCCCCCCGCCCGTCTCACAGATGGGCACAATCCGGTCGGGGCAGGTCGTGACGTAGCGTTACACCCGACCTGCATTACACCTGCCCAGAAGAACTTCAATAGAAGGTTATAAAGGGCCGAACTCCAAAATTTCCAGCGAAAAGAAAAAAGAAAGAAAGTCTGAAGCCATACTCCCCCAGTAATTCTCAGGTCATGAGCTAATTGACATCCCAAAAAAAAAAAGAAAAAATCTGAAGCACAACACCAATCGTTTGTTTCCTCATCATTTGAATGCTACAAATAGTCCGACTCCAAAATTTCCAAACCCCCCAAAAAGAGAAAAGATAGAGAAGCTGAAACCATACCGCCCCCTTTCTTCTCAAGCTGCAAACTAGTTGCTGTGCCAAAACAACAGACACAGCACAACAACACTTACTTGGATATTCGTTTTCTTATTAGATCATCTCATTTCAACTGTACAAAGGGTCCAACTCCAAAATCTCCAACAAAAAAACGAAAGAAACAAAAGCTAAGCTGGAGTCATACCAGCCCCTTCATTCTCCAGCCACGACCTAATTGCCCTCCCAAAAGAATGAGAACACACTCTTTCAGGGAAAAAAATCCAGGTTCCCCCTGGCGTAATTGCATGCATGAACTGTGCCCCTCAGCTTCACTTCAGCCGGACGAACAAGAGTAGTCCGCCACCTGATCCAATCACTGCACACCTAGAGCAAACCATGAGCCACGCAAAAGCACACTGCCAAATACACGTTATCCGCAGGTGCCAGGCCAGGCTTGAGCCCCCAGTGCATGCAACAGCCCCCTGAAGACGTGGTTGTACGTACCTTGTGATGGTGATGGACGCCACTCGTAAACATCTGGGCAACATACCATAAAAGACTACCCGTCACCGATTAGGTTATCGCTGCGCCTAGCTTGAACCCCAACTACATGCGACAGCTCCCGTAAGATGTGGTTGTATCTGTGTGATGGTGATGAATGCTGATTGTAAACAGATGGCCACTGCAGTACAAAGAGCACCTGTCACTGAAATGGGACGTTCCGCACTCGTGATTTTGATGATGCAACGGGGCTTCAAGGTCGTAATGAACATACAACTGACACGACAAACCAGTAGTTCCCACCGAGGCTGACTGTCTGTGCAAGGAGACATTACACACCTGGTCACATATAGTCGGCCTTTGCTGATTGATGCTGCAACCCCTTTCCAACCCGCTTCTTCTGTCCATTTCGCTCTGTTGCCTGAGCCCAGTGTTATGCTGCCACCATATTGTTGCTAAAAATTCGAACCAATGGTGACTCTGCCAAAATGGTAGGAGTAAAAAGTGCCACAGCAATGACAACTGCTGGCTGAAGACTTAGAGACACAGTGCACAATCTTGGCTTTGTTGAAAACTAGCATTCGCAGCCCCGACACTGCAAGCAGGCTACACCATTGCACTCTTCGGAACATCAACTTCAGTCTGACTTGTCAACAACACATCTGCTGCTAGAATCGTCATCCCAGAAACTCTATTTATGGAATTTTACGCAAACAGGGGCCATGCCCTTCTTCTCTGTCTCATTCCAGTTGTAACAGATGTCACAAAGGACTCCTACCAGAAACACTCACTTTGTCGACATGGTAGAAAAAGATAAAGAGAGTGCTTCACATGAGATATTGTACCTGTGTCTGCATCTCCTGCCAGGTCTCTTGACTTCTGAAACGAGGACACATGGCCTCTCACTCCTTCGAAAGAGACTCATCTTTGACTTGCAAACCTGCTGTGATGGCAACGGATGGACCGACCTGAGACCATAGCCAACCAAAAACCACCGAAATGGTTAACATACGTTAGACATCCATCTGTTCCTGTCAACTGGTCAGCATATTCAACCTGCCAGCGGGAAACGTTCTAAACTGGGTGCTCCCACCTTTTTTCCCGTTCTATGAAGTCAACTGATCAGCATAGTCAACAGTTTGGCAGTAAACTGACTTCCAAAAGCTCTGGATATGCTTGCACTCAGATGCATTCAGGTTTCGACGTAATTGCAAACAGATAAATTTAGAGAAGTGCTAGAGTGAGTACGCCCACAGTGGGAAAGGATTCCAATCCAAGTGCTCCCACCTTTTTCACCATAATTTCCCTCTGACGATAAAAAGTTGACCGGCCGGTATGCCAAGTAAGTGGAGAGTGAATGGACCTACCGGGAGCATCGGGGAGCGAAACTGTGGAAGACAAAGTGAGAAAATGCGTGGTCAGGGGCTCGCTGCTCGAAATTGCAGAACCAAGAAAAACAGAAAAGCAAGTGCCTAATCCAGGCTCCCATGAAGGTTCTGTAAGGCAGATGGGAAAGGGGGCAGTAGCCGCAATACTCCTTTTTCCTCATAAACTTTGTGCTTACTATGCTTAACCACCCTCGTCCCCAATCAGCCCATCGGGCCCCCACCCCCCATTTCCGACTCTCTGCCATCTGTTCTATGGGATGAGAGTCATGAGACTCAAATTTGGGGTGAGCACCTGCCAGGCCAAAGATGCTTTTCCCTGCAGAACACACACACACACACACACACACACACACACACACACAC